GCGTCGGGGAGCGGGAAGAGGTTCGTCCGGGACGAGCTCGTTGGTTCTCGCGCCTCATCTTCTCTCAAATCGGTAACAGTTTTGTTTTTCTCTTTTCGTTTTTCAGAAATTTTTGAACTCGGTGATGTTTATTAATCAGTTAGGGTTGATTTGATTATTTTTTTCCCCCTTCTTGGAGGTGACATTGCTGCATGTGATATCTGATGTATCTTCAACATTTTAAGCTGAGGTTTATTGTGTGATGTTTGTTGGCAGTGTTTGTTTGAAATGGCAGTGATAAAGAAACTCCATAAGTTCAATAGGTGAATACCAATTGTATCAATTGTATGCAAGAAGATAGCTAAAAATATGATTAAAAGGGAAGTTTCAGTTATTTCTGGATGTATTCAATATATGATACAACAAAATGTTGACAGCAGTTATGGGGTTAGCTTGGTGAAAATTTGAGCTGTTGAATGGAAGGTTTTCTGTATTTTCATGGACTCAATGGAATTCCTCTGTTACTTGTTATGCAGGGTTTTCATGGACAGCCAATCACAAATACAGCTCCTGCAGCGCCTCATCCACCAGCTGTCCGCCCAAGAGTACGAGCCAGACGAGGCCAAGCGACCGATCCACACAGCATTGCTGAGAGGGTATTCATAGTTTTCTAGTAAACGAATTTATTTTTGATAGTCATATGTTTATCTCTGTTTTTTGTTATCCTTTCTCTTTAAATGGTGTATACAAAAGGGGCAAATTATTAAGTCACTGATTATAAGTTGGGATTTCTGTCCATCAGGTCTAGTAAGAATATTGAGTTAATTTGTCGTGTGCTATGTGAGAAATGTTCAAGATTGAATCTGAAGCTTGTAGTTGAATTTTGTCTTTCTTTTATTACAGTTGAGGCGAGAAAGGATAGCCGAAAGGATAAGAGCATTGCAAGAGTTAGTTCCTAGTGTCAACAAGGTTAGACTTTTCTCTATTATCTTCACTATATTGTATGGTGTTTGGTACTTTGAAACTTCTGTTTGGGGGTGATGGCAAAGACAAGGTGAACTTTCTCAATAGCTTTGTTATCAAAAATATTATATATATATATATATATATATTATATAATATTTTTGTTTGAAGTGTTATGATTCTACCCATATCCTGATTATGATTTTTTTTTTTTTGTTCAGACTGATAGGGCAGCTATGCTTGATGAAATTGTGGATTATGTGAAGTTCTTGCGACTTCAAGTGAAGGTAAGTCAATGTTAAATCCATTTGGCGTAATTACTCAAAATATGGCTCGAGTAATGAGAATGTTATGTGTTGCTTGGCTAGGATCTTTTTGTAACATCAACCTCTTCCACTATTTTCTTTTTGTATATCGTGTGACCAGATTTTTTAGCATGTGTTCAATCTAGCCAAAAAGATTGATGTGGCGAATTAACACTAACCTATTATGTGTTAAATCTAGCAGTTTCCCTGTTTTAGCCTCTACAACAATTAGTGGAGTATGATCTCTCTTTTTTTCTTTTCCTTTTCTGGCCAAGGAGATCATGCAACATATCGATATTCATCTGTTAAAACAACCCACTACTAAAGAAACATTTGCAAATAATTCATTATTTGTCTACGCTTGGTAACTTCTTGTGTATCTTCATGATATAAACTTTCAGGTACTGAGCATGAGTCGATTGGGAGGAGCTGGTGCTGTGGCTCCACTCGTGACCGACATCCCAATATCCTCTCTTGAGGTATAATAAAAGATGATCAAAAAAAAAAAAAAAACATTTTTCAACAAAAATTGATCTTTAATTTTACTTTCAATATATATTTTTTTTCTTCTTATACAATATTTTATGATTTTACTCGAGAAGGAGGAAGGAGCTGACGGTAGTCGAGCTCAACCGGCCTGGGAAAAGTGGTCCAACGATGGCACGGAAAGACAAGTGGCTAAGCTCATGGAAGAAAACGTCGGGGCCGCAATGCAATTTCTTCAATCCAAGGCACTCTGCATAATGCCCATATCGCTTGCAAAAGCCATCTACCACACACCGCCGCCCGATCCTACCTCCTTCGTGAAATCCGAGTGCGACCCGCCATCCTAATCCTTTCGACAATCAAACCCATGATAATTAGTCCCACTCAATCCATGGTTTTCCTAATTTTTCACTCTTTTTTTTACATATTATCTCCATCTTAATCATATGCTTGGGTTTGACAAAAGCTAATGGAGATGTAGCTAATAAAGCCATCATGAACTCTCATGACTCATTTGATTGGGAGAAAAAGTCAAACTTTTCTTGATATGCTGTGCTTTTTCTCCTTTTTTTCCTGCCAATCGTGGGACACGTGGGCTGATTTTTTTGGTGAGGAAAGCAAATTTGGTAGTGGAATTTTGAGGGGCCGTTTGATGTAAATAATATGTGATCTCTTAGTGTTGCTTTCAGTGCAAGTGGTAAAAAAAAGCTGTGTTATTAAGGCTATTGTAGTTATATAATGGCTATATAGTTTGTGTCGGAAAGTAGGGATGTATTTAGTCCAATGGGATATCGATCTTACCATTTGATTGCCCTTTATAGACGCACTTGTGGTCTTTTTTAGTGGGTTGGTTTTGAAAAAGCTATATTATAATGTTACAGTCCCGTTGCGGAACAATTTTGTTGGGATTTGTAACCGTTAGATGAACTATCTCCCACGGTTACATGATTATCTAATGGTTACAAACTCCGAATAAATGGTTCCGTAACGGAGATTCTCCCTACAATATATGACTTGTTTCCTTTTTTTGCTTTTTATTCTTCTTGATCATTATTGTGTTGCCACAAATTATTGTAAAGTTTTCTCCTTTATCAAGGGTGGAAAAAAAGAGAACGTGGGGTCATGAAAAAAGCAGCTTAATCTTGTGTTATATGATGGCATTATTTGCAACGGTTACATGATTATCTAACGAGTACAAATCTCGACGAAATGGTTCCGTAACGGAGATTCTTCCTACAATATATGACTTGTTTCCTTTTTTTGCTTTTTATTCTTCTTGATCATTATTGTGTTGCCACAAATTATTGTAAAGTTTCTCCTTTATCAAGGGTGGAAAAAAAGAGAACGTGGGGTCCTGAAAAAAAGCAGCTTAATCTTGTGTTGTATGATGGCATTATAGAAAGTTCGGATATTTTCGTAAATGGCTTGTTGTACCTTTCTTTCGTAAAGGTGACCTCATGCTGATGCAATTAACTTTATTTTTTTCTTTTTTTTTTCAGATTTAGAGAAAATTTTCTGCCATTTTTCTTTCGTAACGGCTTTTTGCCTTTACGATGAATGTTTAAATATTGGTATATGAAATAGACAAATAAAAAGTACAACGCTCATCAGGACCTTGATACTGATTAAGAATTTTGAACAACATTGTATTCAGGATGTAAAAATCCAACAACTCGGGCTCCAATTCCATCGAAATCACATTCATGTCCGAGCACGACGAGCCAAAGAAAAAGATGAAATGAACATCTGAAAATTCGTTCAAGTAATCCACGGCTTACAAACAAAGTTTTCATCATTATTAGAGACAAATTGACTGAAAAAAAAAAAATCACCATGCTCAGCAAGCATCAAGATCCCGACACGGAGGAGCCTTGGGCTCACCTAACAATGTTGTGTTCCCACCTTCTGGCCCGGAGTTGATACGTTTTGGATTTTGTGTACCGCGCTGTTTAAAATAAGACAGAAAACGGAGAAAAAAAAAAGGTTACGATAATAAAAGAACTAACTAGGTATAATCAGCCTTAGTACACAGCAAGGATAGTCGTTACTTACCGGTGGCTTCTCCCCTCTTTTCAAAGCCTCTACAATCTCAACAACTCGTTTTGGAGTGACATCTTCCTGAGACATTTTGGAAAAGGCCCACATGACTTTAATGGTAGATGAAAATCAAACTATATTTGGTTCCAATTTTGAAAAATATAATAGATACTGACAAAATAATTATAGGTGTAACCCTCCGATCCGTTGGAATAGTCAGCAACTGTGATCATGGGAGCATTTACGCAACATCCCTATGGAATAATCACCAACGAACAAATCACATCATTATTTTCTGAAATAAAAAAGTAAGACTTGGGAAATTTGAGGCACCCACGAGTTTGAAAACTATTAGGAATTAGGGCCAAAGGTAGAAAGATGAATCTCATATAATGAAGATTTGCAGTTCAAATGCTGGTGTGATAAAGCATGATCGTAATAAGCCGAGTACTGTGAAGCTAAGTTTTACACCAAAATCTCACACTTCAGTTCACTGCAAACAGGACCACACCAAAGCCCATAGCGAACAAAGTAACTTAAAACTACTTGTAGATTTAAGTTTCTTATTCAATTCTACCTGTGGAATCGAATGCTCAATACAAACATGCTGTTTGTAATATATAACTAAATTTAATAGAATATTATTGCAAAATGATCTCAAACGGAGGAGCAACCTATGTGGTGCACCTTTAACCCCAAAAGTCGTGTCTTGAGTTTGAACTAAATACCTTATTATCCATTAACAGCTCAAAGAGTATAGTAGACGAGAGATAAAACTGAATAAAAGTGAAGGGAATTCTTACAGAAATAAAATCTCATGGTGAAGACTCACCATACACTCCATTTCTCCAACAGAAAACAAACCATCCTTAGTTACTTCTGCAAAAGGAAACACAACAGGTTCTCTTTACAGTCAATTTCTTCTGAATGAAAACAACTCATTAACAAAAATGTCAAACAGGACAGATGATACCATTGCGCTTTACTCCCAAGTGGTTCAGCAATGCTTCTTCAATTTCTCTAGAACCCCGTATCATGCAAGGAGTTGTACCACATACCAGAAGATGGTATTTTCCAACCTTTCGTTGCCATCGATATGATTATATTAATGATGAACAAAATAAAATAAAACAAAATAAAATCAGTAAGTCTTATATGTAATAAAAAAACTCGATGCAGAATAACTTACCTTTGTTCGGTTGAACATTGAATAAAATGTTGCCACTTCATACACACGAATAGGAGCAACTTCAATGACTTTAGCTACCTATAATAAATAAGAAAAATTACACAATTATCTGTTGAAACAACGAAAAACTTGATTACATATTATTTATGAGATAATATTAAATTATATATAGAAGCATATAGTAAGAGATGGAACACCCTTCAAGTCATGAGACCTTTTCATTAGACCTCACACTGTTGATATTTAGTAGACATATGGAAGAGTTTCCGCCTAAGTGGCGGCGCTAAGGCTAAGGTGAAAATGATACTACATATAACCATGAATCGCCTTCGGATGTTTACGCTTACTGGTCGTTCATAAAGAGCTAAGACTTAAAGCAGCTATTAATAAAGCTCCTCCTAGCTTGGAGAGATAAATGATTTTATCGCGCTCCACATCTCGTGGTATTTGTTCCCAGCCTGGACTTGAGTTCATCAGTTCATCGAGGAAAGGATAATTACTACGAGAGTGCATAGATTTGCTACTCAATAGGTATTAGGGACAACAAAGATGACTGGTAGAAACTTTCAGTGAAGATGCTGGATTCTTCTATAACAGGGTAGAGTTGAACAGGCAGGCTAACAAGTGAACATATCAACCTTAAGCGGAACATAAAGTATACAAGCTGCTTAGGGGAAAATGCAATTAAATTGATCAGATCAGCAATTATCATCGATAATGTATATGGGATACCTAAGGTGGCAAATAAAGCTGTCCCACTGGAGAAGTTTCAGAAATTATCGTTTGGAAAAGGAGTACAAAAATCGCCTCTATATAAGACAAGAAGAATTTTCTTGCCATGATTCGCAATTTTTCTGAAAAAAAGTCTTGCTAAAGTGCATTTACTATATATGCCCATTACTGATGAAGCTAAAGGCCAGAATTACCCGGAAGAGATGCACAAAGTATTTACGTGCTCCTCTTTCGTAAGTGTTTTTTTCTTTTTTTT